TAGCAGGAGGCCCCGCCCCCAGACCCCTGCCATATTAAACAGAAAGTATTTTTTGATATCTGGTACTAGTGAAAGCAACTTGGTGGAGGGGTCAGCGTGTAATTTTACCTGTTTAGTGGACATGAGAGTACTGAACGGGTCGGTTGTAAACACACAGATGACACGCGGTGACTTTGCAGATTTCCCGAGGAATATTTACAGTAAATAATTCATCTTTCGCCATTTCTTCCAAAATAATGACCATCCAAGAATGTTGAAATGAAACGTAACCTATATCTAAAGTCCAAGAAATAAAACATTAACTCTTTCTATAGAAACTGGCGGAAACGTTAAAACGAATCTTAACCAGTGACTTAATATCAAGAAATCTAGGAGTGAGTGACTATAACATCAGTTCATAACACTTTTCCCTCTCCTCACCCTTATCGATATATTTCTGGACATTTCTAAAGCCTTTGATACTGTCGACCATACCCTCCTCCTGTCAAAGCTTGAACATTACGGCGTTAGGGGCCTGTCCCACAATTGGTTTACGTCATATCTGTCCAACAGGAAGCAGTATGTCTGCTACAATAATCATCAATCTGACTCCTCACCAATTTTGTATGGCATCCCCCCAAGGTTTCATTCTCGGTCCTGTGCTGGTCTTGTTGTACATAAATGATATAGTTCACGCCAGCGCACTCGTAAAATACAACTTATTTGCCGACGATAGTAACCTTTATGCCAGCACTGAACACTGAATTGACTAAAGTCAGGACCTGGGTAACACGTAATAAACTGACTTTAAACTTTGACACAAAAAACCCACAACACGATCATTCACAGAAGGAAAAACTTACCCCCAGACTTGGACACCCTGTACCTTGGAAATACAATCTTCAAACGTGAACAAAATATTTAATTCCTCAGAGTTATTGTTGATGATAAACTTAGCAGGAGGAACCACATCAAGCCATTCAAAGTAAAGTCAATAAACAGTGCTGTATTTTGTGTCAAACTCGACAGTCACTCACTCTCACAGCAATGAAAGAAATCTATCATAATCTTGCTTACCAACACCTGATACACTGTCACACACTATGGGGGGCCTCTGGCTCTTCAGAAACACAACCCCTGATCACTGCACAGAAGAGAGTTGTGCGGACAATGACCTACTTGAAAAAACTGATCACACTATCAAACAATTTGCTAAATTGAAAATGTTAAAATTCCAAGATATTAACACCTACTGCTGTGCCCTATTTGTTTACAAAACTGCCAATCACTTGGTTGACAATAATCATTTCCAGTTCCGGAATAATCAGAGCTACTAAGACCACCCTCCATGCGCTCCTCTCAGTCCCAAACCTCCATAAAATATCACGGTGTGAAGGTGTGGAACAACTTACCCCCACCCATCCGAGCAAAGACTATGCTCCCTTCCTTTAAATCATCTCTTAAAAAAATTATATTGTATAAGTATTAATTTTTTTTGTAATACCTACTTTATATTCCAACTTTTATTGTACCACCAAAACCATTATATCAGAAATTATTATGTAGATAGACAGAAATTACCATTGCAATAGATATATTTGCCAACTAGACATGACCCATGTTGTACTGCTTCCCTCTCTTATCATATTTATGTATATCAACTCCACTGTATAATATGTATGTACTTATAATATAAATGTAAAAAATAATAATAAAATGAATATATATATATCGAAGTGATAACCGTGGTAACATTCTGATATGTTCTTATGACCACCAAGCTATTGTACTATTCCAGATGATTCTAAATGTTACATAATACTTCCTTGAGATAAATGTACAGTATACATCATGTGCCTAAAAGAGAGCTCAGGTTCTCAACTGGCTCAGTCAAGTTAATAATGTTATTATTTTCCACTCTGTATCTGTGTTTTTCTGGCTAAATAAACTGCTTCAATGTCAGTATATCCCTCTATCACCAGGTGGGGTCATACTTCGGGTACAGTGTGGCAGTGGGTGACATGAACGGAGACAGGCTGGCGGACGTGGTTGTGGGTGCCCCGTGGTACACACACCTTCAAGGCTCTCAGGACTACGAGGTGGGGCTGGTGACACTCTACACCCAAACACCGCAGGTATGGTGACCACGCTACAGTACCACCTGTAGCAGGAAGGGTGATTAGTGTTCATTACCTGGAGGTATAAGATTATGTGTTTATTATTGGCCGTCTGGAGAGTCAAGGCAGTACATAGATAGTGGTGGTTTGTCAAACTGAACAATAATTTTATTGATAACATGTACTGTATCCAAACCTAGTGAATCCTAATCTAACCTAACCAATCGTAATCACACCGAACCTAACCTCACCTAACCAAACCTCACCTCACCAAACCAAACCAAACCAAACCAAACCTAACCTAACCAAACCTAACCTAACCAAACCAAACCAAACCTAACCTAACCACACTCCCCCTCTCTCTACCCCACAGCACAACTTCCAGCTTAAAGTCAAACTCACTGGTGTCCGTTCACGCAGTCACTTCGGGTTGTCTGTTGCCTGCCTGGGTGACATCAACAGAGACGGGTATGATGACCTGGCTGTAGGGGCACCCAGGGACGGTCCTAGCGGCAGGGGAGGTGTCTACATCTTCCTAGGCAGCCCCAAAGGTCTCGACAAGAAGCCCTCACAGGTGGGTAGCCAACAGAGGCACGTGTACTTGGGGTGTTATTCCATTTACAAGTCTTGGTGTTGAGTCTGTGTTTATGTCGGATTGAACAGGCTTTTGTGTTTTGTTTACTTGTTTGGTGGTATAACCTTTGTTTACTTGTTTGGGGGTATAGCTTTTGTTTACTTGTTTGGTGGTATAGCTTTTGTTTACTTTTTTGGGGATATAGCTTTTGTTTACTTGTTTGGTGGTATAACCTTTGTTTACTTGTTTGGGGGTATAGCTTTTGTTTACTTGTTTGGTGGTATAGCTTTTGTTTACTTTTTTGGGGGATATAGCTTTTGTTTACTTGTTTGGTGGTATAGCTTTTGTTTACTTTTTGGGGATATAGCTTTTGTTTACTTGTTTGGTGGTATAGCTTTTGTTTACTTGTTTGGGGGTATAGCTTTTGCTTACTTGTTTGAGGGTATAGTTTTTGTTTACTTGTTTGGGGTATAGCTTTTGTTTACTTGTTTGAGGGTATAGCTTTTGTTTACGTGTTTGGGGGTATAGCTTTTGTTTACTTGTTTGAGGGTATAGCTTTTGTTTACTTGTTTGAGGGTATAGCTTTTGTTTACTTGTTTGAGGGTATAGCTTTTGTTTACTTGTATGAGGGTATAGCTTTTGTTTACTTGTTTGAGGGTATAGCTTTTGTTTACTTGTTTGAGGGTATAGCTTTTGTTTACTTGTTTGAGGGTATAGCTTTTGTTTACTTGTTTGAGGGTATAGCTTTTGTTTACTTGTTTTGTTTGTCTTTATGTGTGGCTTTCGGTGTCAAATTAATCCCCAGGTATTCTATCTAATTACTGTTTACTTTGACGTTCCCAGTAGGTATTTCTGTCTAATTACTGTTTACTTGACGTCCCCAGCACGTATTTCTGTCTAATTACGGTTTACTTGACGTCCCCAGCAGGTATTTTTGTCTAATAACTGTTTACTTGACGTCCCCATCAGGTACTACTGTCGGAGTCGCTGGCGCAGGATAGCGTGAACACCTTCGGGTGGTCTCTGGTGGCGGGCGAGGACCTGGATGGGAACGAGTACCCCGACCTGGTAGTTGGCGCCCACGACACTAACAGCGCCTTCGTCTTCCGCACTAGACCCGTCGTGTAGGTTAACGCTACCATTAAGTAAGTATCTCTCTGACTCACCTAGACCACTTGTGACTCACCTAGACCGTTTATGACTCACCTAGACCGTTTATGGCTCACCTAGGCCGTTTATGACTCACCTATACCGTTTATGACTCACCTGGACCGTTTATGACTCACCTAGACCGTTTATGACTCACCTAGACATGTAATACCTTAACCTAACCTAACCTAACCTAACCCAACCAAACCAAACCCACCTAACCCAACCCAACCTACCCCCACTTAACCTATCATAACCTAACCCAACCAAACCTAACCAAACATAACCTAACCCAACCCAACCAAACCTAACCAAACCTAACCTAACCTAGCGTTCCTCCTGCCACAGATTCAAGTCCAAAAGCGGGATAATGGACTTAGACGTCAGGGGATGTTCGCTTCAGGACTCTACCGAGGTGCCATGTGTGTCTCTCCAGTACTGCCTGAGTTACACTGGTCACCGCGTCCTCAATACCCTACGTAAGTACCTTGACCTTGGTGTGTGATGTTGGTGTTCTGCTAGGGGGGTATTTTTCTGTCTTTATTTCTCCTTGTTTCTCTCTCTCTCTCTCTCTCTCTCTCTCTCTCTCTCTCTCTCTCTCTTTTTTGTCTATTCTATCTATTTATCTATATCTTTTTCTCTTTCTCTATCTTAATCTCTCTCTAAATCTCCCTATATAACTTAATCTAATCTAAATTAACTTAAGTTAGATTAGATTGGGGAGATTAGGTTAATTTAAAGTCAATTCTATTCGTAGCTTCCCTGTGTGTGTTAGGTTAGGTTAAATGACGTTAGATTATGTTAATTTGAGTTACATTAAGTTAGTTTATGTTAGGTTAGGTTAACTTTTCGTATCTCCTATCATAAATCTTATCTTTGTACCTGTGTGTGTCAAAGATGGCGGTGTGGGTGAGGGTGGACACACACTCGGACCTGCCCATGATGTTCTTCTTACACCGTGAACCAGAGTCTTCCAACAACATCACCATGAACCTAAGGAAGGCTGTCGAGAACTGCACTACTGTGTACACCTATATCTCTGTGAGTACCGTACCTAACCTAACCTAACCTAACCTAAGCCTGTTCTGTGAGGGTTTGAGAGAGTTATGTGTTTTGTGAGTACCCCAGTACAGTATATCCAACATACCCCAGTATAACCAACATACCCCAGTATAACCAACATATTCCAGTATATCCAACATACCCCAGTATAACCAACATATTCCAGTATAGGCAACATACCCCAGTATAACCAACATATTCCAGTATATCCAACATACCCCAGTATAACCAACATACCCCAGTATAACCAACATACCCCAGTATAACCAACTGTAGTGATGGGTTGTCAGACCGCAGCTTACATCTCAGAGACAGTCCAGTCTTGACCCGACATTAGGGAGGTCAAGTGTAGGGTAACTCTCACGGTTGACCAAGGGTTATAAATCAGCCAGGCTCCCCTCCCATGTGACACGGCACCCCAACAAACATGTAAGAAGGCACCAGCCGACTCTCTCCCAATATACACAATATCCTACACCGCAGAAAGAAGTCCAGGCTTGACCCGACATTAGGGAGGTCAAGTGTAGGGTAAATCTCACGGTTGACTAAGGGATATAAATCAGCCAGGCTCCCCTCCCATGTCACACATGTAAGGGGGCACCGGCCGGCTCTCTCCCAATATACACAACGGCCCCACCTGATGACTTCTCCAGAAGATACAACTTATAGTCTCTGAAAAAGTCCAGACCTGACCCTACATTAGCGAGGGCAAATGTAAGGAGACCCTTCGCCGCCGCCCACCCGATTAGCTCAACCTGAGGGCTCGCCTCCCAATATATAGGACGTCCTAGTCCTCCCTAGAGGGAGATAGAGCCAGAGAGAGACAGAGAGAGTGTGTGTCTTGTAACCAAGAAGGACCAGCTGCTACGTCCCGAGTCCTGCTCGAGAGAAGTCAGGGGCCGGAGGCAAGCCGCCTCCGGTCGCCTCCAGTCGCCTCCGGTCAGGACCGAGACTTCCCTCCGGCGCCCAGCTAAGCAGTCTCCCATAGAGACAACCCAGGACCACCTGCTAGGCCTCCCCTAGGTCACGTGAGTTTTTGTCAGAGCTTTCCATGGGATGAGTTACTTACGTGGGAAGTGTATTCATTTCATGTTCGTGTCCGAGAATCAGAGTGTCTAGTAACGTAATATGATGTCCTAGTAACGTAAATATAATGTCCTAGTAACGTCAATAGAAGGTGTTATTAATGTGTCCATGTCATGTTCGTAATTAATAAAGAGTTGTAACGAAGCGGTGTTTGAGAAGTCGCCCTTAAGACGTACGATAAGTGTATTGACAGTGTAAATATCTATCACGGCCACGCTACCAAATCTTCCTCTCTTTATACTCTTATACTATCAATATTCTATATATATATAAATATTCTTCATGCAAGATCCGTTTTTTTATAGGTTATACGTTAATCCACGCCTTCCTCGCTTAGTCATTACAATGGTGGCAGCGAACTATATACGTTAATCGGCGCCTTCCTCGCTTAGTTATTATAATGGTAGCAGCGAACTTAACGTAAACTCACGCCTTCCCTCGGTTAGCCATAACACCTGGCTCGTCTCATCCTTCATTTGATTAAGTCGAAGTATTGTCTACAATTGTGTAATAAGTAATTCCTGTGTCATAGCGTCGTAGCGTGAAAAGTGTCCTAGTGTGTCATATTTACAGCTCAAGTCAATGTCTCTCGTCGTGGTATGCGCGAATTTTTTCTAGAAATATGTTCAGTGCTTAACGTGATTTCTCAGTGTCCCCCGCGATCTGTGACATTCTCAGTAGCCCAAGTGCAGTTTGATTGTTGGTCAGTGTTGAACGTAGAAATTGTTTGTTATGAAAGCGGTGTCTGTACTAACTGTTATAACTTAACATGTCTTTTAACCTACATCCTCCTCCCTGTCCTAATCCTCACCTCACCCTCCTTACCCTTCCTCCCATGCCCCGCCCTGCCCCGCCGTTCCGTGCCGTTCCGCCCCGCAAAGCCCCGGCCTGGCCCGATCAACCACGCCCCGGCACCTGCCTCACCTGCCCCGCCTCACCTGCTCCGCCTCCACCTCGCCCCGCCTCCACCCGCCTCGCACCGTCCAGTGTGACCACCAATCCCCATATGTTTTGTCCGTGAGTTATGCTTCGAAATCGGTGGTTAGTGTTACTTAATATTGCGATAATTACAGAGCTTCACTCAGTGTGTTTTTATGCTAGTATGATTTGTAATGTACTCTTTGACGCGTAGTGATAAATAATATTCAATGTAGTGAGCAGAGCTTCACTCCCCGACCCAGCCTAATGAGAATATTGTCGTGACGGAAACTATAGTTGCCAAACATTGACGTAACGTATAAAGTAAATATTTGTTTTTCTTTACGGATACACTTCCAACTAATCCATCATCCCTTTCGGATTGTTTCTGTCAAATGTCACACACAGTACCGCCCCATGGCTAGCCGGAATCCGACCACAGCACATATAAGAAGAGAAGTAGCAGCGTGAGGAATGCAGCATGATGAATGCAGCACCACACCCGCCACACACCACCCCACTTCTTTCAAGTCCTCCCTGGTCTAGGATTAAGAAGATTATATATTTTTCTACCCTAGGAAGTTAAGGAGTGTGGAATGTAGCGCCACACAACGAACCCTGGTGAGCCCAGCCAGGGAGGGATTCACCACTGTGGAAGGTGTAAGACAGGACGGTCTTTGGTCTCGCCGACACTCACGTACGGAGGGCGAGCCCTGGTCCGCGGAACCTGCCTTACAGTCATCTAAGGAGACGACAGCCCAAGCAGTGGACCGGCTTTCATCCCGGCCGGAGGGGGCCGACGGCAGATGAACAGAAAATCGTCTGGAATATGTTGAAAATGATGATGTTGCAGAGAAGAAATACAGATGGAGCAGAAAAATTCATCTGGAATATGACGGAAAACGAAGATGTATAAAGAAATACAGATGGAGCAGAAAAATTCATCTGGAATATGACGGAAAACGAAGATGTATAAAGAAACGCAGATGAACAGAAAAATCGTCTGGAATATGAAAATGAAGATGTATAAAGAAACGCAGATGAGCAGAAAAATCATCTGGAATATTATAGAAACCAGGAGGAAGGGAGAAGAAGTCAGATGTGGTGACACGACCTACAAAGTGCGGTATTGAAGAAAGAAAAACGTGCTATGCGAAGACAGAAGACACGCTGTGCTGACATCAGAAGGACCAATCGACTACCGCTGTTGTGCTGCCGGCATTCCTTATTTTCAGATACCAGCTGGATGGAGGACTTGAGCCATGCTGGACCCAACAAATGTACTGATGTTGATGATGTTGCTGATGTGTATTAAAAAGATACAACACCCTAACATGTGAAGTAGGAGCATTTTTTTATGTATTTGGAAGTATTTCATTCTCTGATTTTTGTTAACATCTACTACAAAGAATGTTTTTTTAGATTAGTCACTTTTTCTATGAGTTCATTTGATCAATGTTTTGTATTACCAAATGCAATGTTGTAGACATACTACTGAGTGGGACGAATTATTATTTTGACACGGCCTGGTTAGGCAATGTAACACCTGTTTTTGTTTGTAGAATGTGATTTGCAAGTTTGCCTCGGACACTATGCTAGATATGAAGGATCTTTAGATCACTCTATGTTCACTTACTGTGTATGTATTTTATTTTTTTCTCCTGTCATAGAAGCTTTAATCTTGGCGGGAGGTATAGTAAGCTTTGTCAGATCAAACTATGCCAGTAGAAAAACATACATCCCTAGGGTTATAATTTGTAAAATGTAAGGATACATTATCGCCTCAGGGACTATATTAGATACTGCACATGATGTTACTGTCTACTTTAAATGTGTCATCAGTTCTCTGAGCATGAAAGCTTTGGTCTTGGCGGGAGGTGTAGTGATGGGTTGTCAGACCGCAGCTTACATCTCAGAGACAGTCCAGTCTTGACCCGACATTAGGGAGGTCAAGTGTAGGGTAACTCTCACGGTTGACCAAGGGTTATAAATCAGCCAGGCTCCCCTTCCCATGTCACACGGCCCCAACAAACATGTAAGAAGGCACCTGCCGACTCTCTCCCAATATACACAATAACCTACACCGCAGAAGAAGTCCAGACCTGACCTCACATTAGCCAGGTCAAATGTAACCCTGGAGCCCAACTCAAGGGGCCACAAATCAACCAGGGCCTCTCATGTCACACGGCCCCATCTGAAGATTTCTCCAGAATATACAACTTATAGTCTCTGAAAAAGTCCAGACCTGACCCTACATTAGCGAGGGCAAATGTAAGGAGACCCTTCGCCGCCCCCCCGATCAGCTCAACCTGACGGCTCGCCTCCCAATATATAGGACGTCCTAGTCCTCCCTCTGCCCAGAGAGAGACAGAGAGAGAGTGTGTCTTGTAACCAAGAAGGGCCAGCTACCACGTCCCCAGTC